ATCCTATGATGGAGGAGGTCCAATTATTTTATGGAGCCACATATATGACTTGCTCAAGGTCGCAGAAGTAGTTGGTCTTATAGCCAGGATTAGGATTCAGGTCTCAATTCAGGTCTCCACTCCTCTGCTCTGATAGGTATGGCGGGCACTTTTGTGCAGCTTATGGACAACAGTTCTTTTTCATAAAAATGTACTCAGAATTACAGTTAAAGATTATAAAAAATTATGGGGGTTGTCTGGATTTATTTCTGCAGCAGCCAGCACATGTACAAACTGTGTGAGTTTACACTCTTATGCTACTATGTAAAGGAATTTAAACCACATTTTTACTCAGGGGAAAAAAAAAAACCCAAACCAAATAATATCTATTATCCCAATGAATAGTAATTAAAACATCATTGGCAGTATTTCCTAGCTGCTTTGCAGACCTCCCATTTATTTATACAGGGCTCAAAAGAGCTTTACAAATTTAGGACAGCAGATCATGTTTAGGACAAAGATTTTACAAAGCTCCTCATGTTCAGATCTTCTTTCTAGCTACCTCAGTAATATAGTAAGCATTATTGGAAAGACTAAGAAGGTCAGAGCAGCATTATAAGAGGCAAGAGAGAAAACAGGAATCTTGTTATATACACCTTCCTGCAAATTCCAACTGCAGTAACCTGGTTTCAAATTAATTCAGCAACAAAATTCCTATTGATTTTTAGCAGTGGAGGAATGCATCCACTATGTCTTTTGCCACATGGATTTTCTCTCAGCTCAGCGAGGCTACTCAGAATAATCCCAGCTTGCAGGACTGTTTGGGTCTTAAAGAAAGAGATGCCGTGCTAAAATAATTTGCATTTTATAGCTTTCACTGTGCATGTATTGAATTGACCTTGATACCAAGTCACCAAAACAAGTATTTTGTGACCTGTTTTTCATCACTAACTTCACTCAAAGTGAGTGAAGTTTCATCACTTCACTTTTCTCCAAACTGAAAATGAGTGTTAATTTTAAAAGCTTGAATTTGTGATTTTTTTTAAAACAAAAGTTGATCAAAGAATATGTACTTATAGTGCTTTTATGTTCCTTCCAGTTTTGGAAACAACAGTGCTTTACTTTTCAACTCCAGATGGCACTGTGGTGCTTAACACTACCCAACTGGGGGAGAGCAGATGGATTGCAAAAGCATGCAAGCTCCTGAAAAACAATGGCTTTCTTGTTTTATGAGAAATCAGCTGCTAATAGTTTTCCAGTGCAGATGTCCTATTTTAATTTCAGTTCGATGAAGACTGGGCTAACAAATGGCAGTTTATATGCCTGAGATACGACTTGTCGTGAAAGAAAGGACTTGCTTGTCTGTACTTGCACAAGGTCGCGAGCAAAACCTAATGCAACACACACTACTGCAGAATGAAGGGAGAAGGTCTGCTGTTGCACAGCTCTTCCTATTCACAGTGATTAATTCTATCTCTGTACAATTGGTAATTCTGCTCATAAAAGTGTATTTTCAAGGATGGAGTGCAAACCACTGAAGTAACGAGGTTATCGGTAACTTTTCTAGGGAAACCCATAGACTTTACTGTTTGGAAGACATCCTTTGCCATTTCATGTTATCACTTAGACTATTACAAAAAAATCTACAATAAATAATATTCTTCCTTCATGTTCATCCTTTGAAAATTTAGGAGTAGGACGTTCATATATTTGCTTAATCATATACTCATCTATACTGCATCTTTTCTTACATACTAATTTTTCTTGAGATTCTATCCCCTTAGTTTTTATAGTCTTCCCAATTCTTAATTTTGTAGAAGTCTGCCTGACACCTACATTCTTTTAACTCTTCCTAGCTTATACTCTAATTCTCCAATTTTGTATAGAGTAATTTCTAAATATATGTTACCTGACCTATGGACCCAGTTAAAGTTCCCAGCTCCCACTGCACAATCACTAAACCATTGCTCAACCCAAGTCTGAATAACATCACTGGCTTTTCTGTGCATTTCATCTGCCAAAATTCTTGAATTTGCTCCATAGGCCCACGAATTTCCCATAGGCCATGATAACTCTTTTGACGACTCCAAGCAAAACTCAGAGTTTACATGGGTTCATTTGCAGGCTGTTGTATTTTTAACCCAAGTCAATCCTTTTCCATAAGTTAAGGAAGCGACTGAAGATACATAGAAAGGGCAGGCTATTTGTCATACATCTTCACAGATGACTATTTCATCACAAAGAGTTTATGAAAGAAGACGACCTCAAAAGACAAAAAGGAATAAAAGTGAGAGAGAGATGACTGTTTTAAACAGGCAGGACCTTAAAATAGGCTAGGTTCTCTCAAGCACCATATGGAATCCTTTTCCAAAGGCATCAAAAATGCACACGCACCTGCCCCCCCCCGCCCAGAAGGCATCCTCAAGTTCCCCCTAGATTTATGAAATATTAGTGTATTTGTCATGTTAGTTCTGGTAAACGAGTAGCCACAAAACCACACGAGGCAGAATGTCCTACATTACTAGACAATAATGATGCCTCCGAAGACTGAAAACTTGTACAACATCTGCTTTCGTTCCACAGCTCTGTAGCTCTTAATTTTCTTCTCCATCCTCAAAGTTGCATGAGGACAGTGGTGGTTCCTGATAGCACTACAGAGTGCATAACTGATATGTTATTGGCATATGTGACACAATAGATAAGCATTTCTTCCTTCGGAATGTGTTCATGTCCATTCTAGGTCTTCTGAATAAAACTCAAAAAATGTCCTGAAATCAATTTTTTTTAATTCAAAATAAACTTTAATTTAAGAAAACTGTCCCCAAACAAAATTTATATACATTGTATTTACAATTTTGCTGCTGACTAGGTAATATTTACATTACATGTAATGTAAAATCTTCCCCTTGCATGAGTCACACTCAGCCTTTAGACTGAAACCAGTGCCACAGCAGACAAGGGAGAAATTTCTGAAAAAAAAAATCTTTTGTATGTAACCATGACACATAAGATGAATTAAAAAAAAAAAAAAATCTAACCTGAGAGGAACAAATCAAAGCACTGTTGTTACATCATTAGAAAAACAAACTTGGCGGTAGAAAGAATGTACATTTCCTGATGAGGGACATACAGAGTGGTGAGAAACTTTATCAGCTGCAATGCTAAGGTTGTACTAAGATGAACAGAAAGCTGGGTAAAAGCCAGATGACAGCTACAATAACAAACAGGGTTTGGCTCAGCAGGCACCAGCATTTTCCTAGTGCATATTCTTCTGTCATCCTCTCTGCTGCAGCTTCTTTCCCTCTTAAACTCAAGGAAGAAGGTGAAGGAGGAAAATGAAAGCAGGCCAGACCAGCATCCCTGAAGCTCTTCTAAAAGTCCCTTTGCACCCTCTCCACCCTGCAGCCTCTGTTGCAACGCTGTGTGTTGGTGTTGTGGGAGGAAGATGAGCACTACTCAAAGCACCTTTGGCAACATACTGTTTTTAAAAAAGCTTTTGGGGGTGGAGTACCTCCCCAAATCTAATTATGTAAAGCAAAGCATGATCTAGGTACTTACTGTGTTGCAAAGCTGACTGCTCAGCCAGTGAGCAACTGCACCCCTACACTCAATTGTCTGGCCACTGATTCACACCAGTAGCAAGGTGGATCCCTCATACTCCTTCACAACTATGTGCTTGCTGGGGCAGTTGCAGTGTTAAACTGTCTCATGTTCTTAAAAGAGGTTGCGGTTTGGGCTTTTTTTGCCTTCTCCAGCCATACCATCACATGCTCAGAAAGATGTCAAATGTAACACAAATGGCACATGAGTGGTGCCAGCCTCTGACCTATTAAAACACAATCAGCAACCATTTGCTTTTCTGACCGAAAAACTTACCGTGGCATGGGCAATTGCATCAGACAAACATGTCTGATGTCTTCTGTGGTCATAATCTAGACTTACTCTAAACCTGTTTGGAATTAATTTGAAGATGTTGCAAAACATTATTTGATGCATTTTGCAAAACACAGATAGAAGCCTGCATCTGAGGAAAATGAAGAATGGAAGTAGTACCTGCAGATAGTACAGCCTTCCAGAACTGAAGCAGGAGAATTTAACATTGGAAGGAATGTCATGGAAACTGGTCTGCACAAAAGAAGTAGGTTCGTGTCCAAATTACTGTCTTGCGGAGACCGATTCTGTCAGTTCCTTTGTGAGCCATCTAGCCCTCTCTTTGCCTGCTGGGGAAAATGGTGCAGAACTATAAATGTTTCTTCACTAATTTAGGCCTAAACTTTTTTTTTTTTTTTTAAAAAGTACTACTCTATTGCTGAGCAGCCTCATACTTCACTTTTTGCTTCCACTAAACCTGCTGCCAGATGAGGGCTGGGTGCGGCGGATGTGGCTTAATATTAAATGCAGAAGAAGCATCATCCCAAAGAACCGTGTATGCTGGGGATCAGAGTCCTTTCACTCTCTTTTCAGCTTTCAGAACAAAGCAGCAGCATTTATGAGATCACATAAAATTTCAAGCCAGTTAAAGCTATAGTTCCTAGAGATTACTCTAGAACTAGGTATTTTATTATTTTAGATTGTTATGTAAACATTCCACAGAATGCAACTTCATTTTCCCACTGTAGTTTTACTCTTGCATTTTCTCTAGTAATCTGTTTGCACATGTTCACTTCTCTCTTTGAAAATCTGTTTTTGCGGAAATATCAATTTTGGCTTTTACATTTTTTCACTGACTCTCTTCTTTCCTCTTAAGTGAACAATTCATCCTCCTTTTTCTGCCAAAATGCAGTGATTGGTAGCAGTGCTGAATTCTTTTAGTGTACCTTTTTTTGTACATCTGGCTGTATGCAGCCAGATTTATAAAGCTATTAGGATAGTGACACAATCATATTTTTAATGGGAAAATAAGCAAGCTAAGGCAGAGGTTTTAAGGCTCACCACATTAAATAGTCAAACTTCTGAAGTTTCTCATTTTAACTCATCCTAAAACTGACTACACTCACCACTTATGCAAGTTTTTGTTATCTTATAACCTTCTTTATCACTATGAAAATAGTGTCTTTGGAGCTTGCTGGCAGAGATCATTCTTAGAAAATTATCATCCTGTTGTTGGTATTTCTTCAGATCTGGGCTGACGTTTCAAACATCCCATCCCATTTTCTGGAACAAGCAGACCACACCATTTTCCAAAATTAATCCAAAGATGATGGCCAACCAAGGGAGCATTCGGTTCAAGTTCAATGTAACTGCAAAAGAAAACAGAACAAATTTATCACCATTTAAGAAGATCATAGGAACCATGTGAGAATTCATATTAATTTGTATGTATAAGAAATCACACAAATCTGTTAAAGTCTGCATTCCAAAGCCATGCATAGAATTAATATGAAATTTTCATCTTACAGACACACAAAGAATTCTACTTTATGTTTCAATGATACACGATGAGTTGTCTCAAATCCTAACTGATGAATCTGATAGATATAATATAGCATATACAAAGAGATGATGGTGAGATAAGAGGTGATTTTTCTTTTTTTAATAAAGTGTTTTGTTTCATTCACTTTCTATAAAAGTCTAAATAACACAGTTTTAAGCTAGAGCTATTTCAGTCACATATCTGATACAAATGAAAAAAAAATAACAGCAATAATAATGACTTCGTAACAGCTGCATTCTCTCACACACGTTCTATACAAATAGTGTAGTAATAAAAAATCAAAAACATACCTCTAATTGCCTGAGAGTTTGATATCAAGACAAACACTTTTATAAACGCAAGACACAAAGGCGTGTAGTCATGTTCCCAAATAACAGCTGGAATTAGCAGAAGTTTTCCATAGCTGGACAACAGCAGTGCTTTGAAAAGTAAAATGAAGTCAGACTTTGTTTTCAGCATCTCAGGCCTCATCCACCATAAGGTAATAAAAATGCCAACCAAAAATGAAGTTTGTTCTAAAAGGAAATAAGAGGAGTTGGAAAGAGAGAATGAAGTGCCAAAATCAAGTCCTTTTTTCAGTGAATTCAATGAATTTCAGTGAAATCATGAGTCCCAAATGCAACTGAGCCACTGCTATTTAAGACATATGCAAACATTAACATGTCCTCCATCTCCTGTGTTTGTTCATGACATTCAAAATAATTCTCTCACAGAATTCTGTCTGTAGGATTGTCCTACTCGTAATTTCTGACACCATACAGCACAGGAAGTTTAGCATATGAACTTCCTTTACTCTTCCTTTTTAACAAAAGGAGAGGGTTTTTTTCAACTGCCTGTTAGCCTGTAAAACAAAATCAGTACTTGTCTTTTTTGAAAAGGTCACCAGCAATGAACCCTTTCCATCCAGCATGAGAAAGAACACTAAGGTGAAAATATCACTGAGCTGTTAGACCTTTTTTGACACCGCATCCCTGCATAACACTGGTATTAATGCAGATTAAAGCAACTCTCACGATAACTGTAATAGATGAATTACTACTGAAAAATGAGTTCCAACATTTTTACTGACCTGTTATGAAAGCCTACTTAGAGCAACAATAGACAATAAATGACTGAAGTTAAACTTTGAATGTCTAAGGGAAATACTAGTTTTAGTCTGCGGGCTTGATTTAAACTCTATCACCAAAAAAAAAAAGAGAATAAAAGTATTAACCAAAATAAAACAAAACCCCTCCCCTGCCTTCAAATTTAGTCTTGCAGCACATAAGTATTTACTCTTTACCAGTGATGACACTGCTCTGTATCTTTGTGCATTCGTGTAAAAAAAAAACCAGATACAGCTTTTCCCGATTATTGTTTACTTCTGTAAGGATCATCCTTAATGCTGCATCGCCTTAATGAATAATAAACATTGGAGTCAACATGAAATATGGAATAAGGGTGAGCTCTACATTGGTCTTCAAAACTATGTAAATGGATTCAGATGAAGATTTCTGAATATTAGCACTTTTCAGTGTTTTGGTATCTGATGCTTATTATATCAGTCTGAACTTCAGGATCGAAATATGCATTTGCATTAAATGAAGGCAAATGAGAGAGTATGTGTATAATCGTTTAACCATACTGCATAGGACATGACATCCATTCTGTATTAATTTTTGCAATACAGGCTTGATGAAAGATTCATGAAGTTATTCAATGCCTAAAGAGTAAATAGTTACATAAACTAATCATCAATCTTACCTAAAGAAGCTATACCAAACATTCTATAAAAATCCCATTCCTTGGCATATCTGATTAAGTCATCAGGATCTATGTTTTGGCTTGAATCCTGTAGTTGCAACCACCTGAGATAAGCCTCACAGAGCAAACAAAATATGCAGAGCTTCCCATGAATCTGGTAAATGAAAGAATAATAAAAGCATTAGTATTAAATCAGCACAAATTAAAGTATTAGTATTAAATTGGTATTTAAAATACATTTCTACATCTCCACACAAACAAGCTCTGTAGGTTTATTATTTTTGTTTAGAAATATAAGCAGGTTACTTCTGCTGAGCCACTAGTTTAGCACATCATCCTTTTAACATAAATTGACATGATAAACCAATTGGAGAAGGTAGGAAACGGCATGAACAGTTCCATACAGAAGAAAGCATATAACTGTAGTTTGTAAAGCCTGCTTTATACCTTTTTTTAATTGGGAGGGGTGTTTCAGTTAGGAATATAAAACCAAAATTGTGCCATAGCTAGCAGAACTATACTATCAAAATCCCTAGTTTCAGGGCAACTACTCCCTTCAGTGAACTGGTTTAAATAGCCTTGTTTTTGTTTTTCCCTGTGACAAGCTCCATTAGAACAAACTGGTAGTTATACCAAAAACATATCTCAGTTCAGATAAGGGTGAAGAACCAAAAATAAATGGAGCAATGTAACGAAACAAAACTTAAAAGTATCCTCTGAAGTGACTACAAAAATGATGTCATGAGGGTCCATAGTTAGCATGTTTCCACATTAAACAGTCTGTAAGCCAGTATGCATAGGGATGAATTCTGATTCTATACAGATTTAAATAAACCAATGCAATTTATGTGCGTGGATTCTACTTTTTCCATTAGAGACTAGTTATGCCAATTGCACACACATGCACACGCTAAGCCAGTTTAAAATTCAACTCAATTTATCTGAATAGACGAAATTTCCACAGATGGAATAGTTCTTCCAGAAGCCTCATGGGAAACATCATTACCAGTCTTCAGAAGCATTGAATTCATTAAAAACCTTTAGTCAGATTCATGCTTGAGAGACGAGGTGAGTGTATCTATCTACATGGCTTAACACTGGACTGGCCAAGAGGTACCAACATGAACACAGCGTACACTTATGCTTGGATAGTTTGTTCTAGATTAGCTTCCCTCTCCTGCGAAATTAGTCCTTAAAGTAAAAATACGCAATTCTGTCAGAAAAGCTACACCTCTACACTCCAGCCGGGCCAGCACAACTAAGTTGACTAGGTAACTGCATCAACAACGCTTCATGTAAAAGCCACTATCTTTTGCTATAGTTTTAAGGACATGGTTAATTACTCAGGAGGAAACTCATGAGAAATTAGTACAGTAGTTTTAATTGGCATAGTATTGTTAATAATGTATGTTACACTGCTATAGCTCCTTTCAAAAAGAACTGTTTCCAACAGAAATTTAGGTTGGAAATGAACTTGAAGTTAGACCTTTCTCTTCCACTGAGTCCAGTTAGGACTCTCTTTAACATGTAGGCTTACTGCTGTTATTTGCTGGTATTGTGATATTGCTACTGAGGAGATACTAACTTTCTTAGCAACACATGGAGTTTGAGGTTTCATGTGTTCTATTCATGATATTAGACCCTTAACCTGCTCAAGAACAAAACTGATTCAGCTTGATGGAACCTGTGGAAGGGCAGAAAAACAGTTCCTAAAATTTTACAACTACTGCAATCAACTTACCAAACCTAAATATATCTTTAACAAAAAAAAAAAAAAGTCACAGGATAGGGGCGTAGCAACTTACATTTATCTTTGTATTGAAAAGAATGTGTCTGTATGCTTGTGCTTTACATAAAATAGCATTAATCAAGATGATAACAGGGTCATACTCAATGTATTTGTCCACAGGTTTCTGGCAGGATTTCTGAAAAATCACAAAATAGTAAGAATTAGAAGAAAAAAAAGAAAAAGAAAGCAAGCGTTTATTAAATGTTCCCCTACGCTTAGCACAATTGCATAAATCCAAAGTAGCTATTCAATTCTTATTAGTCTTTCCTTAATGTAATCTTCATTTTCAATAGGTTTTTAATCCATCCAGAAAAATTGCTTCCCCCCCTTGACGCTACAGTTGACACAAGGATTTCCCTTACAAAACATACAGATACACTACCGATTTTTATAGGCTTCAGATTAACACAGATAATAAACTATGCAAGGATGTACTTAGTTATCATTTTGTGTCCTACAGATGCAAAAAACCCAAACTGCCTTCCCAACACTGAAGAAATGCGCCAGTATCTTGTTAAAGGTTATTGGATCATGGCCCGTCTACTGGGTATTTTGGGATTTTTTATTTTTATTTTTTGGAAAGAAAATTAATTTCTTTTATCACTTCCTTCTTTTAGAAGACATGCTTTACCCTCCTATCCTACCTTTTTCCTCCTTTCAAGGAAAAACAGTAAATGTTTTTTCCTGTTGCATTGGTCTTCCATATTGGTAAGTAGTCCAGATGTTTCAATTCATTTTCCATTACTGAACAAACACCAATATATTTAGCATATTGATAATGTAGTTTTCACACACAGATACAGCCAAAGAGTTGGAAGTTGGTACTGAACGGTGGTAAGACACTAGACCATTACTTCTCCAATACATCTGCTGGTTTCCGCTGTGCCTACTAGAGCTTATTTCACCCAGACCATGGGGAACTGCTTGTCATCAACCCCCTTCAGATTTATTGACTCACCTGCATGGGTGGTCACTCCTTGACTTGAGTTAAATGAGAAAGGCTAACAAAAGGCTATTATACTAACTGTGAACAGGACGGTTAAATAGCAGTCTTACAAAAGGCTCATCTAGCAGACCTGAGGGGGAAATAACTTCTAGCAGAGAGCCGAGGAGCAGCAGCAGCAGTTGATCGCAGCAACCCCTTCAGCTCAAACAAGGGCACTTGCAGAAGGGGGCTTGCCTGCAGGTCAGCTTCCCCCTGCTGCCCATCCTCCAGTCCAGCTACTTGTTTTGTCCAACCTGTCCTCAGCTAATCCCACTCCCCTCGGCCTTCACATTAGCTGCCACGCTCAGAGTACAACAGTCATAGAAACGATCTCTCTTTCCAATTTAATGAGTGCACGGCTGTGCACTGCCAGAAGAGAAATCTATGCGCACAGCTTTCTGAAATGCTGTAACAGTAAAAAATGCAGCATTAGACAAACTACCAGGAAAGAACAAAAAGCTTTTTCCAACAAGGAGGGATTCCTTGTGTCCAAAGTTAACTTTGCCTTGCTATTTACCAGATTTGTTATTGGAGAATTTGAGAAGCAAAATTTCACTGGCAAACTGACTCAAAAGTCCAATATCCAGAAAAACATCCAAGTAAGTTGAATGGTGTCTAAGGAATGTTCCTACCACTAACCAGTGTTTCTTGGTCCAGCTCAAGAAAAAAACCCAACAAACTCATTTGGATTAGAAAAGAAAATACTGTGTATGACAGTACACAAGTCAGAGGTAATGAATTAAAAAATTGACTCAATTAACCAACAGTTTGATAGGTCTAAAATTAAAGTGAGAGAGATGGAAGAAAGGACATAATTAACAGAAGACCACCGCTACAGCATTTAATACAGTGAAAAAGAAATTGCAACTATAATTAAAGGCAGTGTCTTGCTTCATTTCTTTCTACAGGGAAATCATGAACAGATATTCTTATAGGTGGTAATTTACATATGTCAAATCTCTGGCTTGATGTAGCACAGAAAAACTCAAGTTTTTTTAATAGGCTTATTCACACAAGCGCTGGACAAGCACAAACAAAAGAAGATTATTCTTGAACACAATGGGTGTCTTAAAGGTTAGATGAAGGATATCCTACATACCCCAGGATTTATTATGCTCTTAAATTTTCCTACAACAGAACATTTTTTGACCAGGGTCAAAAACCTTTCTGAGAAGAGTAAAGAACGATCTTTTCAAGTGGAGGGTCCCAACCAAACACCAATCAAAAAATCTGCAGTTAAGAGGTACTGAAAAATTTTCACTGACAGCTCACATGAATTTTAGACAATTAAAACATATCAGACCAATCCTCCAGGCAAAATCAACGATACAGAAATTCTACTGCAGATATATAAGAAGACTGCTACAAATGAATACACAAATAGTAGAGTTACCCATAAGAATGGGTCTTCTGCTCCACACTTCTGGCAGACACAACCAAATCTTCTGCAGCTGTGAGAATGATGTTTAATTCAGTATTTCAGCATACCGCCACCAAACATTTAAGAATCCTATTTCTTTTATGTTACTTCCACCAGGAAAAGAAAATCAGCCGTATCACAAAAGAGCAGCCATCTTGAAGGACTTTTCACACACAGACACACACACACATTCACGTCTGCCTGTCTTCTAGAGCTAGATGAGAGCCCTATTCTTAATATAACTTATTTCTATTGGAGTCTCAACTGCATGAAGGAAAAGCCCTTTGTGCTTATCCAGCCAGTGTGAGTTCACTCAGGGGCTTGTGAGACCTACAAACCACCTTACTGCAAAAGACTTGCGTGTGCACTGCCATAGGCTAACTGGACAAAATGAAGATGACAGTTGCTATACCATGAGAACATTACAGAATCAATAGACCCTCTAGGATGAAATTTTCTCCACACCTGGCTTTTTTGTTATTTTTTCCAGCTGTACTACTAAAACATCTGACACTAACCTTAAAGGCCTAGGAAGGAAACTTGTGACTAGAGACTGACTTCAGCAAAATCGATGCAAACAGAGTTAATGCAGTTTAAGCACACATAGGGTTAACTGGATAGCTTTATGTAGTTAAAGCGATGTAACTTTACGGACATTGATCATCACTAACACTTTCAGAGAAGATCAGTATGAGCAGCTCAGCTATGGAGAACCGCTTGCACGCTTACTTTTAAGATTTTAGTCAGGCAGATCAGAGTGAACTAAAATACTGGTGCTCACGTCTCATTCCCAATTGCAGTTCTGCACAGCTGTAGTCAACAGCCTGTTCAGCATGGCTGAAGAAGGCACATCTTTAACAAAACCCAGCTTTTTCAATCTTCTTTGGGCTTTCTCGAAGAAACGCCTCCGTTATCATAACCAGTTCTAAAATGACAGAAAGACGTAACTGGATTTCTCTAGGTTTTTAACCAGTTTTTAATTTCTTCCTTAAATATGTAACTAACCTCAGAAACAGGAAATAACTGGTATCTTTCCTTGAAAAAATAGACATTGCTTTGATGAAAAGGTACTTTCAGATTATGTTGCAGAAGAGAAAGGTCAAGCTTGACACCATAAATTCTATTTATGCATCTTCTTCTAAACTGGTAAATTTGAGAAAAATTATGAATGTTTGATACTGACACACAGAAGTCCAATAGATACTGTAAAAAATCCTAAAAAATAGCCTAAAAAAGGGTGTTAAATTCATTAATGAATTTAAATGGATATTCATTTAGGAATTGTTTGACTAGTCAAATATTTAGGAATATTTGACTATGCTCGTCTGTTGTTTCAGAAAAAAAAAAACAGCTTCCATTTTCGTAACTTAGAAATTTGCTTAGTTATCTTAAAAGAAAAAATTATTTAAAAAAATAAGCAAAGGCAGCTTTAAGAAAAAAAGAAATCTTCAAAAGCTAGTACAACCATGTTCTTCATAGTGTAGTGTATCAGATTCTTTCTGATTAAAGCAATCCATAACAGTTAAGGAAAGTAACATATGTTTCAACATCTCAGTTGTATTAAATAAGACAAAAGAAATACTGAAATGTTAACTCTGACTGCATGTTTATCAGCCTTTTATAAAACATTACTCAAAAGCATACCTCAACTCCAAACACAGTTCACAAACGTATGCCAAATATAATACAGTGTACAAATATGTGAGGAAATACCTACTATCACTGAAGGACAAAGTTCCTACAGTATATGAACATGACGTTTTTAGAGTGCTTCCTCCAACCTTAAAACATAACTGAATTTCTAAGTATTTTGGGATGGGGATGGTGGAAGGGAAAAATGTTCTTGAAGAGGAAGCCACAGGACACTACAGAAAAATAACCAGGCTTCATCCTGAACTAAAAATAACATGAAAACCACACCAGGAATATGGTTGCAAATCTCTGGATATTAGAAACACCAGTGAAACAGTCTCATTTTAGTGTTCCTTTCTCCAGGGATTGGAGTTTGGCAAATTAAGCTACAATTTTTTGCTGGACTACATATACAGCAAATTTTAACAACATTTACATAGCTTCAACATGAACATAGGTCCATTTACATAGATTCACTGGGCGAACGAACACAGACCGATCGTCTTGCGAGAGCGCCCTTAATCCCAGTTGCACTCTTAAACAATAAAATGTAATTAGCTGTGCTGCTTTCAGGAATGGGTTCTTTATTAGGGATGCAGCTAAGTGTCATAATAAGCTGAAAAACAAAACGGCCCAGCTTCAGATGCATTCCATTTCAGAAAACTGAAATTTAAAATATTGTTTTATAATTTTTCCTATATGATATGTTTTCCAGTAGTGAGTTGGCCTGTAGATTGAGTTATGTAAATAAGAAAAATAACATACTTTATTTTCCAGAATTATCTTTGTACTCTTGACAGATTCTTTACATTACCACGTAAATGCTTTGCATTCAAAGCATTTACAGTCTCTCTGCCTTGCTGCAATAAAACAGCTTTTCAATTATTTTTTAATTGCAGAAAAGCTAAATGAAGTGCGCACTGCTCAGGCAATTTGGTTTTCTTATTACAAAACACAAGGGGGATTCTGACTGAGCTCTACATATTGCAATGAGTAATTTCTTTCCCTTTGTTAGGGACTGGAACGATTAACATTTTTGAAACTTTGTTTTTAAACACAACAACATATATGTAATTTAAAACCAAATTAAAAAAAAATTTCATGTTTTTCCTTCTATTTTTGAATAAGTCAAGTTTGCTAATTTCCTTTTATATTCATTGAACTTTGCAGAATTTATTCCAGGTTAGCCAAATGTGGTTTTTTTCCCCTATGGCATTAATACTTTAGTGGCAATGTTATCGGAACAGTATTTTTTGTTACTGTTGTTAATCACTGGTTCGTAATATATTCAGTGAAGATTGCTGTATTACAGATCATTTAAGTTTTAAGGATTAACAAAAATCTCCTCTATAAAGAACCACCTAGGCTTACTTTCACCATCACCTCTGGTTTGGAACAGGGAAAACGTCAGCATGTTCACAGCGCAGGACTAGAACCAGACCCATGAGTTGCAAAGCAATCCCCAGAAGTCACCTTCGTCGGAGGCAATCCTAACACACCTGCACACTCCCCACCCACACCCCGCCACCCCCCCAGTTATCACACAGGTCTCCCCAAGGAGGTGAATTTCCTCAGAATTTTATTATCTGTTTCTAAGTACCTTTAATTTCTTTTTAAGGAGCAATAGTCCACCTGTCTCTCGTAATAGCATCTCCACAGCAAAATATATGCAGGATGAGAAAAAGGTTCATGCCCTAAATGCGAATCTCAAGCAAGAAGGAATGCGCAATACCAGAGGTCCGGGCTACCCTTCTGCTGAAACTGGCCTTGATTAAACAAAACAGATTAAAAAAAAGTTACAGAACTTGAAGAATTTTTGGCCGTTAGCCACCTTGCAGAGCTCTTAACAAAAGACATGACCTTTCCATCCGAGTTTCATGGTACTGAGTGGACTTCTATGTTTGATAGAAGAAGGTTTCTCTAGCTTCTTCAGTATCCACTGCAAATTTATTTCCAGAGTGGATATTGATGTTTGTGAGGTCTTTAATGCTTACCCGCATTAAAATTACAATATGGACCTCAAAGAAACTTTTAATTATCTTAAGAGCAATAACAAATGCTGCAGGAACTAAACTGAAGCAGCACCATGAATATTAGGCTGAATTTCCAAAATTGTACTCTAATATTCTGGGCTGGAAACAGATGTTCCCCAACAGAAGCTTTTAGTATTTGCCTCTGTAAAAAACGCATTCTTCTCTTCAACAGATTAATAACAGAATACAAAATCATGGTATTTTGCTTAGGCATTCAAATTTAAATCTTCCACCTGAAAATCTGGCCCAGGTCAGGTTAAACACACCCTAAAAACAAATGTAGGACTAGATAGAAGATGCTGTTGGGAGAACTCAGCTTCTTCAACCTCAAGATGATGTTCCGAAAGGCGTTGAATGACAGGAACATCCTGAGAATGGCAAAGACCTTTTAGATGAAGATTTATTAATTTATCAAGGATAACTTTAAACTAGCATGGGGCAAGTCTGTAGGTCAGTATAAAACAGTGATGATCTTGGCAATGTTCTGCTTGTTCCTAATTTTCTGGGGCCAAAATAAGGAAAGAAACCCTTTATGTTACATATCATACGGAACAAATGTTGGGTGGTTTTTTTTTTTTTCCTTAATGTGTCAGTATTTTCATGTACTACTTGAAAATAGGAGTGAAACACAAGTATCCCAAAGCTTTTTAACAAAAAAATTATCTAGACGATGTCCCTTGGCCTCACTTTGACTATCACTATACAATCTTTCTACGTACTTTTTACTTTTTCTCCCTTGTGCTACAATGGAGTAGCAGTACTCGATGTTCTAATTCCACAAAGACAGATCAAAACTGTTCTCAGGCTGAGCGGTCACACCTTCTAATCTCACCTCAGACCTCAAATTTTTCTTAAATACCTTCAGGTTTTCATAAGTTTTTAGAGGCCTACACTCTTAGTTTTATAAACACCTGATATAAATGATGTTTCACACTGGTAAGTGGGATCTTTGTATTTTCTAAAGTGGAGAAAACTTCTAAGCTATCATTTTCAGGTTAAGATGATTCATAACACTGACAAACTCATTATTACATTGTTCATGAAAGTTTGTGAAGGGTATCAAATCACATTCTGTACTTGACTACTTTTTGTTGTCAGTAGCATGATGCTGACCAACTTTTCAGGTCTCTGGCTGGAGCACAGGATTGCTTGCATGGAGTAGAATGCTTGCAGAGGGTTAGTGCAGTGACAAAACTACTCTTCCAGATTAAAAGGAAAAAGTAAAACAAGAATTCCCCTATTAGAAACCATGAGCTCTTGGTAGCTGGAGACGACAGCCGTGCTTTCCTGCAATACACAGATAAAGCTGAACTCACATCAGTTCAATTGAAGGAATCTTTTGATCTTGGCAATCTTCTAACATTCTCATCTCCACTTTATAAACTGTGAGCTAACGTGTTGCTTACTAATGTGCTTGGTATTGCCTGTTCCTCATGTGGACCGCTCCTACTCTCAGCACTTCCTGGGTGGCCAGAAATGGAGAGAAAGAGTTAGAGATGATATGACACGGCACCACATAAGAGCAACTAGGACTAAGACTGAAACTGAACCATGATAATCCGCAACATAGACAGAGGAAACAGACTGGTAGAAGTGAAAAATGGTACTGATCTGGACCTGCATGAAGAAAGGTGGACAGAATTCCAAGTTGCTAGGACAATGTGATTCTTTACTCTTGCTTTTACCCTGTTCTTTACTCTTTTCTTAAGAGTTTGGCGTTTGTGATGAACACAGCAACTGGGACTTAAGTCTTTGATTCTACATGGGATGCCACAACTCTGGAAAACCAGGAACTTCAGTCCTCAAATGGTTAAATGCTAAAAGGAACGGGTGCCACCTACTGGTTCCCAGTTCCCCTTAGAGATTATCATAGCCAAATTAATAACCATAATTGATGACCTGGGTTTACAAGATGTGCTAAATCATATGTGATATAGCTGCAGGCATAAGCTTTAT